TGAGTATACCCCATCACTGAAGAAGGGGGAGGGAAGAGGAAAACGTATAGGCTGAATATATAGGTAGGGATGAAGGTTTTCAAAAAGTAAGAAATCGTAGTTCCTTGTTTGTAGACTCTTGCTTCTTAAATAGAAAGTAATCGTTTGATTGCATAAGGTTGACAGTTAATCGCTACTAAAGACCAAGGTTGTATCTCATAATTGTAAACAGTTTTGGTAACTTGCTCACTGTGAAGTAGTGTGCATTGTGTTTACCATCGTGGTAAGAAGCCAAGTCATGCCACTGGAAAGTATCTTAAAGGAAGGCAAAAGACTATACACATTGCTTAGAAATTATTAATTTGTGTAGTCACTTTATTCTTCTATCCATCTTTTTTATACAGTATGTAGTTTTCACATTATCGTACTTTCCAAAATGATTTCCTCATAGTCTCTTGTGGTCAGACAACAGTTGAAAGAGCAGGATGGAGGGGTAATATGAATGAATGAAACTCAGGTCTGGTCTGCCAGAGACCAGCAAAGAACAAACATTATAGGGTAACATGGAGTGTAGGAGGATGTGAGACATGTCCTTGAATGGACTTTGGTTGGACTCACTGTTGGATGTTATCAGAAGGAAGGACATACTTATTTAATCTTATTTATAGGGAGCACAGACTAGATCAAGGAATAAGTTATTGATGAAGTAGTGGCAGTCACTCATTGAGGGCAAGAGGGAGATGTTTAGTATTTTGTGAATTGCACAGAGACCTCATTTTTGTGCCTATTATTATTATTTTCAACGTGACTTTATTTGATGTATCCTATGAGATTACATCACACAGGAGGAAATGGGTTTGAGCATCAGACCAGTTTGCGACAGCATTTGAGGTCTAGCGATCGTTACCAGGTTATGCCTGGACCTCATACTGCTTTTTTTTTTTTTTCCAAGTGTTTATATGAAATAGCCATAGAAAATGTACCTTTATGCACACATATACATCTGCACACACATACTCAAATCCTAGCTTATTTTTTCAAGTAATCTTGCCCTTGCCTTGGCAAGTGACATTTAAACATATATTGGTAAGGATTTGTAAAATTCTGCCCTACTGTAGTATTTTATCATTATATCATGAGTCAATGCTTTAGGATAGATTTTTTTTTCTAACTATCACTTTCACTTGGAAAACTTGTTACGCTTTTGAGAAATGAGTAGAAAACAGATTTTTTTGCTTTTTTAACAATTGTATTAGCCCTGGTTTACAACACTGTTTTGAGAGGTCTAAACTCTCCCTCTTCAAGTGTTGTCACCACACCACTGTGTCCATGCCCTGGTTTATTGTGCTCTCTCCCTGATTTTTCTCCTCACTTCTCCCGGTGTCCCTCTCCAGTACCTCTAAATCAGACTTCTACCATCAGATTTCCAGGGTTTGGTATTGGGTTGACTTTATCTGACCTTTTGTTTTGTTTCCCTATTCCTCATATAAGTGATGTCACCTAATAGTAGTCGTTTTTATTTGGACTTATTTCTTTTAGCATAATCCCCTCAAGTTTCATCTATGTTGTCACAGATGGCAAGAGTTTTATATTTGTTAATACTGAGCAGTAGTCCACTGTATATATGTACCACATCTTCCTGGTCCACTCCTCTGTTTTGGACACTTACATTGTTTCCATCACTTGTTTATTGTCAATAGTGCTGCAAGGAACAGAGGGGTGAAGTTTCCTTTTGAATTAGTATTTCTCTATTTGGAGACAATATTTAGATCCAGAAAGTTTTAGATAAAAAAAAAATCTGCTTGCTTTGTCACTCATACATATTTTATAGTGGCGATTTACATGCCCTCTATGTATGAGGATCTCTCTCCTTTAAATCTTTGCCCACATTTACTACTTCTTGTCTTTTTGATAATAGTCACTCTGAAAGTTGTAAAGCACCATCTCATTGTGGTTTTGAGTTGCATTTCCCTAAGAGGAGATGATTAAAATCTTTTCATGTGCCTCTTGGCTATGAATGTCTCTTCACAATCTACAAGTTTTTAATAGAAACATTCTATTAAATAGAAGGAAGGGAAAGAGGGAGGGTATTAAAATTTATCTGTAACCTCAAACAAATTCAAAGAGAGACTTTGTCTGTTTCTACTCTGACATTCTGGACAGTGTAAAGGGGCAAAATATAGATGAATAGAAAATGCAGACTCTGCTGGTTGATGTGTTAAGTGTGTAGAGACTAGACTAATAAGGGCTATCTGACATATTAAATTTGCTCATTTTAAATTTATTTTTGCAATTATCATTTCCTCATTTCCTCCTATTTGGGGGGGAAGCTTTTTCCCAGCTAACAACTTCTGCTTGTTCTTAAAAAAAAAAAAAAAAAAAAACAACAAAAAACTTTTCTCTTGCAAAGATCCTTTTTTTTTTTCCTTTTAATATTATGGACCAATGCAACTACATTCTTATCTATGGAAACTCTTTCATTGTAAGAGTTCTCAATAAAGTTAAAGCAAAATCCTAATTATTTATCCTTGATTAGTATATACATATAATATATGACTCTGGTTTATTAAATTTATACATGTTTTTGAAATTACATATGTCATTTTCCCAGATGATTGTATGATAAACCTACAGAGATGAAAGATCTTTAACTAAATGGTAGGAGGTAGGTTAGATTTTAGATTATTGGTTTAGAAGCATCGTTTAAGCCTATAACTGATTCCCTAGTTTTCCTGGGCAGGGGCCTAATTATACCTTTAAATAGAAGATATTATTCTCTTTTTAGATCCTTCTTGTATGTCTGATATCTTATTGAATTGTTCATGTGGCTTTGGGAGTCCCTAAGTCCTCCATTAATCAGTATTTGAAGAATATTTTAATAATGGTTAAATATAATACTTATGTTAATGGGTTCTCAGGAACTCCCTTTCACTGCTTGGGTTATTTTTGTTTCAAGCATTTACAGCATTGAAAACTTGTATAACATAATTTCTCTCTTAAGAGTGAGACTATTATACTGGATATGTGGGAAAGAAGGATTCTTTTTGAATTAGTAAATATTTTTTTACAAAATCTTAGCGTTTAATTTTCTTACTTTCTATACCAAAATTGAAATGGAAAGTTAAAACTTAGTTTTCATAAAGAAAAATTGTGGATTTTTTTAGTGTATCATTTTAAAATTTTAAAATTTAATGAATAATATACCAGTAGACCAAGTGACAAATAGTATAGCTTTTAATGTTTCATTAAAAATTAAGCAGAAGATTATGAAAATGAGTTCACGTGTCTCAAGGCATACTAAGGCGCACTTTCACAGGCTAAGGGTCAATTAATTTGGCTTTGCTTAACATAACTCTTTATATAAAATATGATCTGGATTTAATGGTGAATGCAGTTTTACATAACCAAGCTAGAACTTCCTAGAGATAATTCAGAAACATTAAAAATACCAAAGAGACTTTAAAAAGTAGGTTTTCTCTTATATTTGGGATTTGAGAAAATGTGTATGGAATTTGAAAACAGCTTACAGTAAAGCTATAAGGTAGGTCACTTAATCAGTGAATATCCTGATTCATAGATCTCCCATTGGGTACACTAGCCATTGATAATCTGCCAGTTACATGGCCTGGGTTTGAACTCTCAAGCTTTGGAGAGCTAACTGCCCTTCCAGAAGATAAGTTGAAAGTGCTACCCACACTTCTGTGTGTGATCCCTGCTAGTGACACTTGGCATTGTTTCAATTTAGTCATTTAAGATATAACATTACCACTGTGGATCCATTTGTCAGGCCTTGAGTTATCAGTTCTTTGAAGAAATTTACGGAAGTGTGGGAGGAAGGAATACATTTTATAAAATGTTACAATGAAGCTTCTGACTGGGGAGTTTTAAGTGTAGTGTTAAACATCTTTTATGGATAGTTAAGGGAATTACCAGATAGTAGAGTAGTTGTGTGAGATTGCCAGACAATTTCAGTGTAGATTTTTTGTCTTAACTAAATGAACCTAAAGGAACAAGTTAGAAGGGAAGAATCTGGTTGTTACTGTTTAGGTTCCTTCGTTGAACCTGCATCTTCTAAAGCTTTACAGAAGGTGCCTGTTGAACACTTCTTATTCTCAGCCCAGACAAGATCAGAGGCCATGGTTACCAACCACGGATCTCTTGTCTGTCTTCTGTCTTTTTCCATGACTATTACCTACTGCCTTGTCTTGATATGTAAGCACAACCTGGAAAACCTAAAAAACAGTGTTTTGTGGTTTGCCTTGGAAGAACACAGATACGACTACTGTTTTTGGTGAAGAAAACAAATTTTGTATTTCAATCTAAAAATGTAAATTTTCTTTAAAAAGAAATTAAGCAGATTACATGAGCCATGAAAGCATCCTTTTAACTATCCTTTCCTACTAAATATAGAAAAGTTGTCCATTTAAACTAATTATTTTTAATCTACAGTCTTTTAATTATGAAAAAACAACACCCAAGGTAGGTTTCTTTGAGTTGTCAAATTTCATTTTTGTCGTGCTTCATTAATTGAACAAAGGATCCTGTAGTTGAATATAACTTAGTGTATGAAGATGTGCTTAGCACTGAAATCTTTTCGTTGGAAGGAGGAGGAAAGTGATTTTATTTCTTTTTATGAATGTGTTACTTAATGATACAGTTTAGACTTTCAGAAGGAGAAAATACTCTAAATCATGTGGTTCCAGCAACTTCACTTTACAGATAATGATGTGGAGAGGAATTTTCCAGGGTGACACATTTCTTCAGAACAAAGCCAGATCTCTAGTTTCTTTGTCAGTGATTTTCAGTCTGAAAGGCATGTTGTTCCTTCAAAATGAATCCAGCTGCTATTAAAAGAAAGGTGGGGTGTGTCAGGAAAATGCCAAAGAAAATGACATCAACTCCCTTTTGGTGAATCTGTTAAATTCAGAAGTTCACTTCCAGGTTTCCAGTGTTTCTTGTTCTTATAAAATACTCCAGTATTGTAGATAATCATGCTAATAAAACTGACTTTTGCTTTTTAGGTGAGAGTTACGTGTGTGCATCGAACGAGCCATTTCGTAAAGTTGATTACACCAAAAATATTAATCCAAACTGGTCTGTGAACATCAAGGGTGGGAGCACCCGAGCTTTGGCTGCTGCTTCCTCAGTGAAAAGTGAAGTGAAGGAAAGTAAAGATTTCATCAAACCCAAGCTAGTGACTGTGATTCGCAGTGGAGTGAAGCCCAGAAAAGCCGTGAGAATCCTTCTGAATAAGAAGACGGCTCATTCCTTTGAACAAGTCTTAACAGATATCACTGAAGCCATTAAACTAGACTCAGGAGTGGTCAAGAGGCTGTGCACGCTGGGCGGCAAGCAGGTATGATGTCGCGCTCCCCGGTCTCCATCTTTTAATTCTCCCTCATCACATGGTTCTGTACTTCACAATATGAATGTCACAGCCTACCGAATTGAATACTCTTACTTGACAAGTATGTCTGGGTGTATTTGCCTTTACCTAGCTATCTCAAAAGTGAACATAGAGAAGTCCCTCCTAGAACACTTATGGTCAGTGGAAAGAAAATGTAAACTGGGGGAATGTTGTGAGCTGAGGAAGCCCCTACATTAAGCGGGATGTCTCTCTTTAAGATAAGAGCACCTGGTAACTAGTAGAATCATTTCCAGTTTGGGAAAACTACAGGACTCATAATGAAAAGTGTTTAACATTTTATATAGACATCTTCACTCCCCACTGACATATAATATGGAAAATGCCTATTAAAATAAGAACTTTTGTAGGAATGCCCATTGGAGTTTCATAGGGAATAGAGGTAATTAGTCAATATTTTTGAAAAAAAAAATGTACACAAATTACACAGGAAAATGCAAGCCAAGTTATAGTAACAATATACCAGGGGATCTAATGTGTGTGTGTGTGTGTGTGTGTGTGTGTTTTTAAAGGCAAATTGCAAGAATGCATGAAAAGCAGTTATAAAAATATTGAGTTTCGCCACATCAGATTATCATCCCTAAAGAGAAACATGTGGCTTTCTGAAGGGTTTTCTCCTAATTTCAGTAAAGCTATATTGTTTATATTTGCAGTTTTAAACACAGCCTCCAACATTCAATTCATTTCTTCCATTTTTCTGCTTTTCTCTAACACAGTTAATTTATTTTGAAGTGTTTGGCTCACATAGCTGAGAATGAATAGAAAACATTGGAGCAGTGTTTTCTGGAGAAACAAAATTTTAAGTGATTTTCTAAGCCCAGATGTACATTGTTAGGTTGTTTTCTGAAACTCTAGCAAATTTTTCAAAATAGGCTCTAAAAAATTGTAATAGATTATAGTGAGATTAATATGACTTTTCTAATTCATTTAAGAAGGCATAGCACTTTAGAGCATCCTGCCCCAAGATAGGTTCCATATATGAATGGAAATAGATACTTTGTAAATTAATAGGACAGTATGACAAAACACCCTAAGCCTCTTTATTTTTGTCTGTCTTTTTCTTTTAAACATCCTTGTTTATTTTTTTGTAATAAAGGATTTCTCTGCTCAGGTGTGGTCACCATAATTCTTCCATCACCAAAGTGCCTCCAGTCCTCTACCACAGTCCACTTTGTTCTCCTCCCTCCCCCAGCCCCACCTCTCCTGAGAATTTCAGATCTATAGTGTTTTCAGGGGTCTCTCACGGTTTCTCTTTGTCTGATCATCTGTTTGAATCTCTAGATTCCACATGTAAATGGAACAGTATAATGTTTATCTTTCTCCTTTTGACTTACTTTGCTTACAATAATCCCTTACAGCTCCATCCATGTTACCACAAATGGCATGAGTTTATCTTTTTGATCACTGAATAATATTCCAATGTGTATATACCGCATTCTTTGATTCACATACCTTTTCTGGGGCATTTAGGATGTTCCCATGTCTAGTGCTGCTGTCAACATAGGAGTGCAGGTTACCTTCAGATTAATGTTTTTGTGCTCTTTGGGTAGATACCCAGGAATGGAATTTTGGGTCAAATCGTAAATCCATCTTTAGTGTTTTGAGGAATCTCCACACTTCTTTCCATACTTGCTGGACCAGTCTACATTCCCACAACAATGTAATAGGGTTTCTTTGTCGCCATACCTTGTTTGTGTTTTCTTTTTTTGAAGTGGGCCATTCTCACAGATGTGGCTTGATTTGTACTTCCCTGCTAAGTGATGATGAGCATGTTTCCATATGTCTGTTGGTCATTTACATATCTTGTTTGGAGAACTGCCTATTTAGTTTTTCTGTCTATTTTTAAAAATTCATTAACACCTTAAAAGTCATGCAAGTAGGTGAAAATAAATTAGGTCATAAGACAAAAAGAATTGATCAAGTAGCTGATTTGTGGTGAACATAGAGAAGACAGGAAATATAATGACCAGAATTTATGATAACTAACAAAAGGAAAGATGAAAATCATAAAAGTGCCAAATTAAAAAATATAAATAGCATGTAGCAATAATTGCAAATGGGATTTTAAAAAATGCAACTCTGATTTAGGTCCAAATGAATGTTACTCAGAGAAAGTGAGTGAAATAAAGGCAAGCATCTAGTTGAAATCATTGTAATTTTAATAGTTATCCAAACATTATCTTCAAAGAGGCTCTAATAATTATTATAAGTGAAATTGTTGATAATAGCACAAGCAAACCAAAACCAACAGCATACTCAAAAAAAATACACTGTTATGAGTTGGACTTATGATAGGAACTAAAGGATGATTTACTATTAAGAAACTAGTTTATATGTGAGATTTAGAAGACTGAGAATAATAGCACTCATCATACACCCCCCCCAAAAAAAATGTTGCAAAGCCATCTGACAAAATTTAAAAATTTACATTCAGTTAAAAAGATTTAGTAATTAAAATGGAAGGTAATAAATCTAGGTAAGTTCTCTAATACACTATAAAAAATTCCTAGGTAAGTTCTCTAATACACTATAAAAAATTCCTATCTGAATTAAAAAGCCTATGGGTTAGTAAATTAATGAGATATTGGAAATATTTCAATAACAAACTGACTCAAGGATACCTGATAGCATCAGTATCTATCATTCATAGATCCTGATTTTCACTTACAGTTTGATTGCTTTTCAATAAGAATCAAAGTGAGTTTTTTTAAGTGGGGTGAGGTATATATATGACAAAGTGGTTTTTAAAAGTTAATCTGGAACAATAGGTTGAAAAATTTTGGAAGTAATGATTAATGAGCTCTTATACAACCAGATATTAAATCATCATTCTTGTACCATACCAAAAATAAATTCCAGGTGTTTTAAAAACATAGATATAAAAAATATAAAAATAGAACTGAAAGAAAATATGTCAATAGTTATGTTGAAATAGGAAAGAATTATCTAAGCATAAAAATTGTGGAAAATCCAATCATAAAGGATGTTGGTTGCCCAACATAAAAATTAAAAATTAATAAATGCCATAAACAAGGGTTTCATATTTTTGTATAGAGTTATAGGAGCTTAAACAACTAGCAAGGAAGTGGATGAAGTGGATGAAAGACCAATCAGACAATTTGAAAAAGTAGAATTACAAATGGGAGCATGAAAATACTCCATCTCATTAATAAAAAGATGAGTTATAGAAATGAGATGTTATTTTTAAATGACAGGGTTTTTAAAAATGTCCATTATTTTTGAATGTGCAATCAATTAGCATTCTGAAAGAACAATAGAAGTGTAAATTTCATGATTTTTATGGAAAGCAGTTTGTTTTATATAACTGTTCAAATATTCTTACTATTTGAACTAATAACTTCTAAGAATTTATTCTGAATTACCTGAAATGCAGATATAATTATGCCTAAGAATTTTTGTCCCACCAATTGGAGCCAGAAATTGGAAACAGTTTTAAATCCCTAAGTAGAAAACAGTTAAGTGTATTACCATAAAATTCCATGGATCTATATATAGTGCCCATTAAAAATTATGTTTGTGAGAATATTTAAAGACATGGGAAAATGTTAGGTAAAAAAAGCAAGTAAAATTCCTATGGTATGTTTTCAATTTTGTATTAAAAATACAAAATTGTATTTTTTTATAAAAAGTAGAAGAGTTTTTAAATTAATTTAGAAGGAAGCAAGATTATAGTTGCCATCAGAAATCCAGCATTTGGTGTTCTGACTTCTTTGTCATATCTACTTAGAAGCAAAAACTCAAGCTCTGAGAAAGAAAAGAAGGCCGAATTCAATCAGATTGTGGAAATTAAAACATTAGGAGCTAATCCTTGAAATTTTGACATTTGGCTATAAAATGTTAAAAATATCCCTTTTATCACTGTTTATGTCATGTGGAACCTAAGCAATATTTCTCATCTGGAAATAAAGGAGGTATTTTAAATTTTCAAATATTTCTAGAAAAAATTGCAAATTTTATTTTTAATAATCACAATCAGATATTTTTGTCTTCAGATATTTTTGTCTTTGCCAAGTACCCTTAAAATTATAATTTTTTGGCACTGATTCATTATTTGTACTATAGATGGTTTTGCTATGAAAAACTTCAGGTTTTTGTTGATAAGTCATAAATCTGTTTTACCATAGCATAGGAAAGTTTCCTTATGGTTTTGATTAATGCAAACCTTTAAGTGAGCAGTGTTCACTTTGATTTTTTATAAAGTGATTTTTTTGTATAAATATGTGAAACCATCTGTTCTCTAAAACTTCTCAGAAAAAAAAAGACAACTTTTCTCAGGTGAAAAAATAGAAAGCAACTAAGATCTATTAATGAGTTGTCCCTATATAACATTTTAGCCAGCCTTGACTTTTATGGTTATCTCCTGATTAATTTTAGTTAAAATGTGTTGTTTTAATTTGATCTTCGACACAAGGAAAGAGATTAAACAATTTATGGGGATGTACTAGGGACGATCCCTGATTCCGTCATGATACCATTGCTAGAGTGTAACAGGCCTGGTTACCTTTTATGAGCTTGAAATCTTTCCTGATTGAAAAGGCAGTGGTGTATCATGTGCCACTAGCATTATGGTGTTGAAGCAATCTCCTTTGATTATTTTCTTACTTCAAAAGACTAATTTACCTTTGTGTTTATAGGTGGATAACAAGAAAGCATGATCTGTAAATAGAAGTTCTAATTATTCTCTTCAGGAATTTTCTGTAGCTTGCATTGAATTTGCATTAAATGTTTCACTTTAGATTTTCTTTGAAAAATCAAAACCTTCTTGGACCTCCACGTTAAAGGAATTGTGTAGGACAGCTAGGTTTACTTTATTTATTTATTTTTTGAAAGAGTGACTTATAATAAACTGCAGCATGGGGGAGTGCTCTAAAAAAATGTATTTGGTAAAAGGACTGAAATGTCCAAATATA